GATAAAAATTGATTGTCTTCAAGCCAGAAAAAAAAAAAGTTAAAAAAAATTGGAACACTTGGTCCTTAAAAAAAAAAAAAAGTAATTTTAGGATTAGATTGCTCATGGGTAAAGGTGTGCGCTTACAAATGTGAAGGCCTGAGTTCGAATTCCTAGATCCCAAATAAACGCCAACATGTAGTGCAAGTGGCTGTAATTCCGGCCCCACTATGGGGAGACAAGAGATGTTCTGGAAGCTCATGGGCCAGCTCGCCTGACATACACAGCAACAGAACAGCCGAGAGAGCTTTTCAAACAAGATGGAAGGATGAGGCCCAAGGTTGTCCCATGACCTCCGTGTGTGCACACCCTCAGAAATCCATTTTTGCCTTGCCCTCCATGCCTGTCCTATACAGTTTGATGGAGAGCTCCATTTTCTTCCCAGGGTATCCTGCCCACCCTGTGTTGCCTTATGGAGGGCACTCTGCAACTGATTGTAAAACGACCGGTGAAAGGTCTCATCTTAATTGTTCCATATACATTTTTAGAAAGCATCAAGATAAGTCTGCTTATTTAACTCAAATGAATTCTTTTTTTAAAAAATTTATCTATTTTATTTTATATGTATAGGTATTTTGCCCACATGTATATACTTGTGCACCACATGTGTGCCTGGTGCCATCTATCTCCTGAAACTGAATTTACAGTTGTGAGCTGCCATGTGGATGCTGGGAATTGAACCGGGGTCCTCTAGAGGAGCAGCCCTACTGAGCCATTTCTCCAGCCCCTAGGATCAATTCTAAATTAATAAAGTCCTGGTGTTTTTCTGAGTTAGCTTTAGAGTCCCTAGCCCTGTGGGTAGTTTACTGGCAGTCTTGCACTAACTGCAAGGTCAGGGAACATTCCATGGCTTCTAGAAGTGTTTTCTAAGAAGCAGTTGTAACTTACCAAGCTGTGGCTGGGTGGGGTAGTGGGGTTTCCAGGGTGAGGAGAAGGAGAAGTGGGCCTTCTGCATTTTGTTGAAGTTTTATTTTCCAAACCCGGCACCCAAGTGTTTCTTCCTCTATTTGTAATCAATGGTATGACAGCTGTCTTAGTTAGGGTTTCCATTGCCACAGAGAAACACCATGACCAAAAGCAAGTTGGGGAGTGAAGGGTTTATTTGGCTTACACATCCAGATCATATTCCTTCACTGGAGGAAGTCAGGTCAGGAACTCAAACAGGGCTGGAACCTGGAGGCAGGAGTTGATGCAGAAGCCGTGATTGGGCACTGTTTACTGGCTTGCTTCCCCAAGGCTTGCTCAGCCTGCTTTCTTATAGAACCCAGGACTAGCAGTCCAGGGATGACAACACCTAGCAGGAACTGGGCCCTCCTCCATTTATCACTAATTGAGACAATGCTTTACACCTGGGTCTCATGGAGGCATTTCCTCAACTGAGGCCCCTTCTTCTGATGACTCTAGCTTGTGTCAAGTTGACACAGAAAACCAGCCAGTACAGCAGCTAAGTCATTCGTGGGACACAAAGTCTGTCCACTCCAAGACTCTTAGTTTAGAGTAGGGAGACCTCCATTCAAGTCATAAGAAGTGGCATTTATGAAGAGATACATGGCAGGGTCCCTGATTTGGGGGTTGATGTGACTACCTTCATTTCCTTTAAAGTTAATCATTGCGCTTGAATAAAATGCAGTTCGTAGCATCTTTACTGAAACCTTGTGGGTTCTACTGTTTCGTTTAGGTGTTGGTATTAATCCTATTTCATAGACAAATAAATGGAAACTCTAATTTACTCAAAGTTGCATGGTCCCCACCCCTTAGAGCCTGGGTTACCTGCTTGTCCTTAGTGGCCCAAGAAAGATGGGAATGCTGATGTGTGGGCCACTCCAGCTGTCATTCTTACCCTCCTGGCCTTGCCATCTAACAACAGAGGAAGTAGGGTACTGGTGGGAAATGACAGCTGTGATGACCTCAGGCTGCATCTGCTGGGTGACTTCACCTTGCCAGGAGCATATTGAAGGATATTGGCTGTTCTGTTTTGTTCCAAGTCCCATTTGGATTTGGGGTTCTTCCTGTTGGTGTCTGTGCCACTTGGGACCTTTGCCTTTCCCATCTTGTACTGGGGAAGGATTTTCTGCTTTAGATTTTAGATGTCTGTCCTATGCTTAGCCCTTCTGAGGAGGCAGAGACTTAAGGAGGAGGTAGGGAACCGGGACTTAAACTCAGATCTCGGGCTTTGCTCCCCTTTGCTTCTGCACATGTCGCAGCCTGCTGACTGCAGTGTGACAGGATGTTACCACTGAACCTAAAGAGAATGGAGGCGCCGGAAGGCAGAGGGCAGCCTTTGTCCTACCCATGCACATCTGTTTGGAAAGGAAGCCCCGCTGAGCTTTCTGTCAAGGCTTTAATAAGGAAAGACTTAATCAGTGAAGAGACTTCTGAAGAAAGCCAGCCAGTATATGACAAGTGAGCAGGATAGTTTTGTAATCTGCATTTCCCTGTTTACTTCTGCCCCCTAGAGGAGAGAATACGCCATAGCAAGAGAATGGAATGAGAGCAATGGGACTGTTTGTTACCCAGGAGATGCTAGCCCAGGTAGCGCTAACAAGCTATGTTCCTTAACCTTTCCTTGGTAGGACAATTAAAAACACAATTACTGATGAGAAGCAGAAAAAGGATATTTATGTGATGTGGCCACATTGGGAAAAAAAGCAAAGAGCTTCAGTGACACTCTAATCCATCTTCAGGGTCCCTACAGCAAGTTTAAGTTTAAATAAAAGACAGGAGTTATGCATAACTAAGCTGTCCTGGCCAAGGTCTGGCCCTGCCCACCATCATCTCCTCTATTCCAGTCTCTGGTAAATCTATCTGCCCAGTCACTGAGCTTCAGCCCTTTCCTTTTCCCAGCTTAAGGTCCTAGGGTAATTCTGGTTTCTTGGGGTTGGTTATTTCAACAGTCTGTCATAGGGAGGGGCACATATGTCTCTAGGATATCTTCATTTCTGGGAGGTGGTTACAGTCCTAATGTAGTGTCTCTTGTTTTCTTGTTCTGGACCCAGTCTGGGTATAGTTCTAGGCTTTAAAGCCTTGCTTACACCCCAGGGAGGTGGCTAGGGTGGGTCAGTGTGGCTCAGTCATTCCATCCCCCAGCTCTTACAAGGGAAGGAGGGGTGTCCAATAGGTTATCAGCAGTCTGTGAATCACATCCCCATTTCCTTAATAAGATGCTCAGACACAAGGCCTCGTGTGTGCTAGGCAAGCTTCCTCAACTAGTCATATCCCTGGTTTCCATGTAGGTTTGGCAGTCATGTACACACTTCCATTGCAGAGCTCAATAGAGACGTTAGCAAGTCTGGTCTACAGTCAATGTAAGAAGTGCCACCCGTCTTTGTAAGAGAGGAATGTCAAAGACTCAGTGAACATATTTTAAAACCACTTTGTCTTGGTACAATGCAGGGCATGGAAAGTTCCAGTATACACTATGCACAGGTCCTGTTCTTAGTATGAGTGACTTAAATTCCAAGTACACAAGCTGGCTCCCACCAGTCAGGGGTGGGACTATCCCAGACCATTGCTTACCCAAAGCTGTGTTCCTTTTGCATCTTTATTTTGCGTCCCCATTTATCACTAGGCACCAAGAAGACAATCTGAGATTTTCCTGTCTTGGATTTATAGTTTATTTGTGGTTGGCCAAGCTGGATGGGCAAGAAGGCTGAAGCTGTGAGTGTGACTTGTTTGTGACGGTCTGAACTTCATACGGATCCTAGTTGACTTGAGTCTTCAGTTGTTTTCTCCTCTTGATCCCTTGCTGTGCAGTCTCGTCTTATATCAGGACTTTGTTCTCAGTAGAAGTTGTGGTGCTGTAGTTATTGTTGTGTGGTTTGGTTTGGAGCAAACTCAGGATAAGACTTCCGGAAGTCCACACCACAGAAGAGGGGTTGGCATTAGTGACAAGGCACAAAAGCAGACCCAGAGAAGTCTGAATGGGAGATGCTTGCTGAGTGTCTCAGTTCAAGATGGAGCAGTTTTTCTGCTCAGTAAATTAAGAACTGGAGGTATTGATCAGATAAAGAATAGAAAAGCGTAGGTAATGTAACAGGATGCAGAATTTTTGAATGGGGAAGAGAAAGAAGTTTTTTTTAATAAAAGATACTAATTGATTTAAGAGGCTGTGTTTATTCTCCCACTAAAGACAAACTGAACAGATGAGAAAAGTGGACTTGATAGGACCTCTAGAGCCATAGAAACTTCTAGAATATGGGGAAAATCTTTTAAACAACAGAATAAGAAGCAATATTTACATTAGCACCTTATCTTTATTTGTCTTGCTTAATCCTTAGAAAATTCTTTGTTAATGCTTCCATCAAGAGCTAGGGAGACCAAACTTTCTTATGGTCCTGTAGCCCAAGGTGGTAGGTAGTAAGGTCAGGATTAGAAGGCAGGTTTGTTGGACTTAATACCTGTTCTTTCTACTACCGTATAGTGCCTTTCAAGGCAAAGGCAGCCCAAGACTAGGAGTAGAACAGGGCAGTCTAGAAATAATCACAAGTTAGATCTAAGGACCTCTGTCTAAGTCCACAGCAAGCAGAGGGAACTCTTAACTCATGCTGCCATTTTGGCAGCCATCTGGACCCCAGCATGGATTTGTACTCTGCAAACACTTCCCATTCCTATGTATTTTGAGGAAAGGGCCTTTTGAAGAATCTTCCACTTCATTTTGGTTGACAAGACAACAGTTCTGTTCTTTCTTGGTTCCATTCCATTGGGTGGGTTGTGTTTGGGCCCTGTCAAATCTGCTGGTGGCGGTGGATAAAGACAGCAGTGTAGCGGGGAATGTGCCTTTGTGAGAAGCCTGGGACATGAAAGTCACACGTTTCATGTTTCCTTACTTCTGAATTGAGAGGCCTCAGAGTATCATTACACAGAAACAGGTACATAGTGGAGACTAGACCATGCTAGGAGTCATATACAGTGTCTCCTTGGCTCTTCTCACTCCAGTGTTGTTTTCTGTTTGTTTTCTTCAGAATATCTTCAAGAGACCTTCACTTCCCTGGGCTATTGTGTCCAGACTGTCTTGTTTCCTAATGCGGAGGATATACCCCAGACTCTTCGTCAATATGCCCACCTGCCCCAACATCGAGACTACGACAGCTTCATATGTGTTTTAGTGAGCCGAGGAGACTCCCAAAGCATGATGGTCGTGGATCAGGCTCGCGGGGGGTTCTCCTTGGAGTCTGTCAAGAATATGTTCATGGGGGACAGGTGCCCTTCTCTCATAGGGAAACCAAAGGTCTTCTTTATTCAGAACTATGAGGTGATAGGTGGCCAGTCGGAAGACAGCAGCCTGGAGGTCGATGGGCTAGCAATAACAAACTGGGACTCTAAGGCCGTGCGTCCTGGCCCCAGCATGACTCACCGGGAAGCCGACATCTTCTGGAGCCTGTGCACAGCGGATGTGTCCCAGCTGGAGCAGCCCTCCAGCTCATCCTCTGTGTACCTGCAGAACCTCTCCCAGAAGCTTCGGCAAGAAAGGTGAGCACTCCAGTCTGTGACTGCCACCTTGATCATTGACCATGTGTTTATTGCCCTTCTACCAAATGAACATCACCACAGTGCTCTGTCTGAAGGCCTTCCCCAGGAAAGAGACTTTACCTTCCCCATAGGGCTGCTTTGGGGTATGATACAGACTCGGCACAGCTTATCAACACTTCAGCTTGTAGTCTGGGTATATTTCTTATACTCTGCTAACATGAATTAAGCTTTACCATAGGTGTGTATTATAGAAAAAGCACAGTGTATTCACTGTAGGGTTCAATGCTGGCCTGCTTTCAGACATGATTCCACTAAGGTTCTTCCACAGAAAAAGGCATGACTGTAAACATTTTTAATGTTTATTAGGAGTATTTCCCTAAAGGATCCATTACTGTCCTGGCTTCTAGTTAATTTAATGAAGCTACAGTGCCCTTCAAGTGTAAGATTAATTGGCCTTTTTTATTTGCCCCTCCCCCAATTACAATGGGCAATAATGTTTCTGAGCTGCCAGTCAAATGCTTGTATTCTAAGGACCTCAGGTACCTCTCTAGCTTTCTCTCACCAGTCTCCTCAGCGCCGGCTCAGTAGGGTGTGTGTTCTGGGAGTGATGCAGCATTCCAAAGGAGATGCTCCAGGGATCAAGGGTAGTGTTGGCCTTTTGCAGTCTTCCCGTCTTTGCATATGTGATCACCTAGCTGGTATGTTCTCAGTAAAATTCAGCTGTCTCTGTGGAAGGAGACACTGACCACTGGGCCAGAGTGCTGCTGACTTGTTTGGATTGTTTGCTAAGCATCTTATGGAGCGTTTAAAAAGAATGAGTTTCAAAGAACGTTCATACCTGCTGGCTCATCTCACCACAATGACAACGTGTCTTCTCTCTTTGGAGTTTGCTTGGCATTAAAATTTACCTTTCTCTTTTCTGCTAGGAAACGCCCACTCGTGGATCTCCATGTTGAGCTCATGGACAAGGTTTATGCCAGGAACAGCAGAGTTTCTCCTAAGGAGAAATACTATCTGAGCCTGCAGCATACTCTGCGAAAGAAACTCATCTTATCTACATGAAAACCCGATGCCTTCCGGATTCTTGGGATGTAGACCAGGGTGGCTTGGAGCTGGCAAATCTCCTGATTGCTGACAGCACTTGAAGGTCACAACTGCTCTGGTTCTGGTGAAAGCCTTGCTGCCATGGACCATGCCACTCCAGCCATCATTCCTCCTCACTATGATGGCCAAGTGAACCTCTCCTCCTTAAGTTCCTGTGTCAGATGTTTTGGCACAGTGTGGAAAATGGTAAGATGTAATCACATTGCTTCTTGGGTTTATCTACCAAGATGTACTAAGTTATTATAAGAGTTATTTATAGTCTATGGTCAAGATTTGAACTATGACGCTTGAATATAACTTAAGGAGGAGATTTGCCTGGGTTCATCATCTAATTGGGTAAATTGTTTCTGTGTTTTGAGTATCTGCCATAATCATACATTAAATTATTAGCTTATTAAGTTATTAGAAGTATCCATTGCATCACAAACTAGGGATTTCTGGCATTGTTGCTCTTGAACTTGCACATTTGTTTTGGATGTTGTTTTGGATGTTTGTGACCCTAGCTTTACATGTATGTTATTTTTTCAAAAACAAATTTTGTTATGTATGTTTAAAATTTACAACATGATGCTTTGGAGCACATACATGTTTCCACAGTGAAACAAATTAGCCTATCTCTAATTTCATATAGTTAACTTTTTTTGTGGAGAGCACAGTAAGATCATTAAACATGTTGGAACAAGTCTGGAATCCTAGCTAAAAACCTGTCATACTAGTACTAGGGTGGTTGAGGTCAGAGGATCACAAGGTCTGATCCCAGTCGGGCTATGTAGTAGTAGCTATGTGATGAGATTGTGTGTGTGTGTGTGTGTGTGTGTGTGTGTGTGTGTGAGAGAGAGAGAGAGAGAGAGAGACAGAGACAGAGACAGAGACAGAGACAGAGACAGAGGCAGAGAGACCAGAGACAGACAGACAGAGAGGAAAGAGACAGATTCCAACATAGTCTAATTTTATTAACTGCTATAAATGTCTTGGGTAATCCAATAATCTAATCTCTATTTGTATTTAAGAATAGAAAAAAAAGAATAGTCATCAAAGGCTGGACGGTGGTGGCACATGCCTTTAATCCTAGCACTTAGGAGACAGAGGCAGGCAAATCTCTGTGAGTTTGAGGCCATCCTGGGCTACAGAGTGAGTTCCAGGACAGCCAGGGCTACACAGAGAAACCCTCTCTT